CAATGATCCACCTACTGTGGCTCAAACTGCAAAGTCTGAGTGCAGCTCACCTCCTTAACAGTTTGCTGTTTGTTTTTGGCTGCTGTACTAAAACATTTATTTGTTTAACAAGAGCAGGAAAACAAAGAGCTTAAGTTCCAGCCACTGCTGGTTTCTGGGAGCTGGGAAGAAAAGTCTGGTGTTTTAATGTGAGAATGTATTTTTCCTTCGTCTGAGCTGCTGTCACTTAAGCCTTCACAGGACGCTGCTTTGCAGACTCACCCCCGACATTTCCTTTGTAACTATTGTAGATCTCTTTTAGCCGGCGGTAGCGAAAGGCCAGTTTACGCATCCACTCCACCCCTCCCTGAACTCCTGTGGTGGTTCCTGATGCAGCTCCACCGCTGGGGCCGTTAAATCCATCCGCCATGAAGTTGTAGTTGCTGAAGCAAAGAAAAACTACCTGTGATTACTCAGAACGACACAAAGCATTTTGTAGTGTCTGGGTTAGTTAGCGGGGCAGCGTGTAACACACCTCAGGTCCTGTCCATTGTCATCAGACGCCACATCCTCAACATGGACTTGATCACACTCCTGGAAGAAAACACAAGTAGAGGGATTCTTTTCCTCGTTTTGTTAGGAACCAATTAAATATGAAACTAAAACATGTATGACAAGTAATTGTGGGGCTTTTTGAACACCTTCAACCTGTTAAAACTTACGGAGGTGGAACCAGAAAAAACACTCACCAGTTACCTGATTATTATTCACATGTATAATAAGATGCCTTTTGATTGGTTGTAAGTTTAGAAGTGCTCATGTCAGGAAACAGCGCCGCATTTGTTTGTTTAATGCAGTTCAACCGGTTTTTGACAGTCAGCCTATTGTCTATCTGCCTTCTTCTGTCTGACATGCAACTACAAACATGAGTTTGTAAAAAATAAAAGTAAATAAAATCTGGAATTCTGGTTTGTACCAGCTGCTGTGAACAATTAAAAGCTGCTCATCTCTCATATTCACTCCAGTCTAAACAAACTTCACTGCACCTCGAGGTCATTGAAGAAAAGATGGGTGTCTGCCAGCTCAAAGATTAGCTCCTCCATCTGCAAGCCCAAGTTCAACACAGTCGCCGGGTCCTGAACAAAATAAAACAGACCCACAATAAGCATGTTACACAATTCAATAGGTCTAATTTTTGCACTGTAAGCTCAAAGGATTCATCTTTGGAAAAACCAACCTTGCCAAACTTCTGAGCGTAAGAGCCGGTGAGCAAAGAGTGGAATATAATGATGGTTTCATCCAGATCCCATAAGAAAATGCGCTGAAACACAAAAGAACAAGATTACTTGTTGGACTGCACTCCATATTACAGTGAACATTTTCCTGCTCCTCTAACTTTCCCATTATATTTCAAAAAGCATAAAAAAAAAACCCCCATAAACATAACTTGGGTTTGGACTTGACACAGAAATAGTTCAGTTCCTATAATAGTTAATTAATATATCTATAATTGTAAAGATTTCACAAATGTCAAAACAAACTTACTGCTATTAATTATATCCACTACTGTTTAATAAGCAAATTAAATGGTTACCTCCAGGTCACTCTCAGCAGGTGGAGAGTTATCAGACTTCTTGCCCTTCCCTTTGGCTTTGCCCACCGAGTTCCTGCGGCCGACCTCGTCCTGATCTCGAGCTCCAGCGGGCACTGCCACAGCTGTAGGAAGAGCCGCACAAACAGGCAGGTTTTCTGGTGGGGACGCATCTAAAACGAGACCAAGAACATGAGCGTGGCAGCCAGCATAAAAAACAACCTTTTAATAGGAGAGCAGCCGAAAGAAGATTCTCATTTTAGTTATTTAGATTTTCCACTTAAATTCTTTTTGAATTCCACAGCACATTATGGGATTAAAAAGGAGAATTGGCTGCAGACTTTTTCACTTGTTTACTGAGGTGCAGATCTAGAATATTAGCTGCTCTCTTCACACTTCAGTGTAACCTGGTCTAAAGCTGACAGTTTAATCCAACTACTTTAGATCTTAAATTTCTCATCTGCATCTCTGAAATGTCTGGATCTGTTCAGGGCTGCAGTGGATATCTAAAAATGAGCTCCAGACAGAAAACAAAAAACAGAAGAGTTCTGTTATAAGTTCCTCCAGGATGTAGAACAAATAGCATCTTGAAAATTAAAATTTAGCCAGGTGCACAGGAGAACTGTTAAAAAAATAAATAAAATAAAAAGTACACTATACTTCATCCTAACTGTTCAACTAGTTTGTTAAATATTTCTACACAATAACACAAGCACCTTAACAGTGTGTGCAGTATTCATTTAGTTATTTTTCAGGTTTTTATTTATGTAAAGTTAACTTAGAGAAAGACAGTACCATGAGACGTTTTGGTTTAAGTATTCTTACTGTGCTTTTTCCTGCTTTAAATGTAGGTACAGCAATGTGTGTTAATGTTACACAGCTATTTACCATGTGCTGTAGAACAAAGTGCTGACAGTTATTTAAGGTAAAGAAACCAAAGGCAGAAAAAAAGGTAAAAGGCAAAAGATAATGAAAAGCCAAAAACCTCTAGGAGGCAGTCCAGCTGAGGCGGCCTCCTCTGATTTCACTGCTGAATATCCAGCAACACCTGCACCGCCACTGTGGTCATCACTGTTAGGTAGCCCAGCAGGCACGTAGCTGGGAGGAAGAGTGTAGTACTGAGAGAACTGACTCTGTCCCAGAGAGTTATAGCTGCTAAAATCCTGGAGAGAAGTGAAACAACAAACAAACGTGATCAGCAGAGTGATGGGAAAGGACTCCACGCAGGGCTGAGTAACAATACGCTGGAACAATCTCATCTTTTCAAGAAGTTCTAATATCACTGAACATAACACAAACTCAGGTTCTGTGTCAGACAGTAAGATGAACCCTCTGTGATCAAAACTTGATCCCAAAAGCATTCACTTCCTGTGGATTTCTGCCCTCACTCAAAGACAAAAATACGGAAGTAAGTTTGAGCTGAATTTTTGCTCACATTGCAAATGCTTTTAATATCCTTTTATAGATCACTACGCATTCTAATCTCCAACCACAGCACAGAGTAAACTTGTTGAGCACACACATACAAGACTTCTGCATTCCTTGCTTGAGATTTGCACCATATTAACACTTTGCTCGCATACATTCATAGCTTGAAAGGAATTTTTTCCTTTTCATTTTTGGTCATTTTAAAGGCAATTTTCCACTCCCACGGTGGACCAACTGCTCGTAAAACCACACACAAAGATAATTTTATTCTTTATCTTACTGGAGAATCACTGATTCTCACCTGATGGGCCACCGCCGAGGCGGTTGTAGTCGCGGTTGTAGCTGAAGGGATGTTGGAATACACACTGGATGTTGTGAAGCTTGAGCCTAGAGAAAGAAACATTCGCATTAAAAGAGATGCAAAGACTAAAATATAAAAATAAAAATACTTCTACATGATGTTATAATGGCAAGAGAGGAAATCAGAGCTGTGCCACTGCAGGTTCTCCTTTACTGTGTTCTTCAGGTATTTGCAGACAGTGAGACAGAGTGAGATGGCAGCTTGCCTTGGCTGGGGTATGAGTAGTGCAGCTGGCCTGGCTGGGTTGAGGTATATGTGGAGCTGAAACTGAGAAACCCAGGCTGGCCACCAGAGGGCGCATCAGGCAGCCCTGTCTCTGTTTTTATGCCTGGCCACATAGCACCTGAAGATGAAAGAGAGCAATGGAAGCTGAAGATGAAAGACGCAGCAGGGGAGAAAGTGGGTCACTGAAGATGCAGCAAAGTTAGTAAACTGGGTACTCCCGTCAAGATTTGTGTTTTTGTGTAAAAGCAGGGTTTAAAAGCAGACTGGTTCAGCGCCAAAGCACAGTGAGGCTTTAAAAGCAAAGTCATGAAGTGTGATGCTTGGATTTTAGAGAGCAGACTGTCCTTAGAAAGGGTCATCCAAAAAGAGCAGGCACTAACCAAAAGGTGGGAGACCGTAGGTCTGGCCTGTTTGGGGGAAGGATGAGTACACAGTGGACTGGGCCAGAGGAGGAAACGCCACCTGACTGGTGTATGACGTTACTGCTGGGCTGAAAGAGAGAGAGAGAGAGAGAGAATGACTACCTATAACAAAAGTGAATACACCTGTAGCAGGTGCATTATACAAAAAAAGAGCCAGGCTTTGTCTTGATGTAAGAAAAAACAAACAAACAAACAAAAAAAAAAACCCACACACACAAAGAGTTGGATTTTTCATCACCACATTTACATACAAACACCTACTTTATCACTTTTACATTTGTAAAAGCACATTAGTAATCTAACCTGGTGGTCTGACAAACCTGCAACGTAGTGAGAGTAGAAGCTGCTGTACAAAAGGAGAAAACTGCAGCCATCAATAAAAGTCTTCTTTGGAACATCTCAACAAAATTAAAACGTTGCAGGTAAAGTCAAGATGCCACAAATCGTGCACCAAGTTTACTGTGGTTAACTAAAACTACACTAAAAAATAAAACTAGATTAAAAAAAAAACATTTTAATTAACTAAAATAACTGAAACTACTGATTTAGGTGTTGGTGAACCTGGAAAACTGACAACAATAAATAATAATTTTACCAAACTAAGATAACAGTAGGGATGGGTACCGGTATCCAGTTCCATTATGGCACCGGTTCTGACATAAACGGTAGTAACCAGA